CTGTAATATTCTTGTGTAATAAGTAATTACGAAAAATATTGATAGGTGAATTTGGAATACACTTTGTTATGAATTATTCTTAATCTAAATTTCTGAATTATCTTGTCAAAATAAGTTTTTTAAGGGTTTTTTTCCCCCAAAAAACGAAAGAATTTCACAATGTCGAAATCAGAAAGTCTTCATCTTCATCTTCATTTAATGATGTGTCAAGGTTGTTCATATCGTCTTTAACAATTATTATTATTGTGCGTCCTCAAAATGTTTCTAATATTAGACGAAACTTGACTATTCATGACTTTGCCGAAACATGAATGATACACACGTTGTACAGCATTGTTTATACAGCTGGTAACTCGATGAGCACTTTTGTTTCTTGGCACCGGTACTTATTCCCGCCAAAAATGCTTTAAAATTGTGTGTATTGTTGTATTTTTGTATAATCACTTCGTTCATTAGAAAACATATGGACATTGGCGACAAATGTTGATAAATATTTTTGAAAACAAGTATGAAAATACACGTCTGAAAGGTGATATAGTGTTCAAAACGTTAAAACGAGTGTTGTCTTACAGCCATTCGACTATATTGATAGACGTATCAATAACACTTCCAATCATTTTTTGAAGAGTGTATAGAAAGTGGCACTGTCGTTTATCAAAAGTCTTCGTGAATACGTAATGACATAATTTTATGTTTGTGATGTCATTTGCAGCAGACACAAACATTTCACTGTTTGTGGGTTGCTTACGTGACTGATTCTTAATATTCCTTGAAACATTGATTACAAATTTACCAGTGTGAAAACGGTTTTCTAGTATATACATTAGAAAGTTCTTCAATGGATGATCAAAGTTGAAATATTTAAACAACAATCAAAGGTAGGTTTTAAAAGTAAATTTAATACATATAATACGATACAGTTGTGGAAGAGTATTGAATAACCTTTTGGTTTGAGAAGTTCTCTACCTCAAGTAATATCTAATCTCATGGGTTTGTCAGCATAACGTTATTCGTCCAATCGACGAATTTACTAACTTTTGTATATACGCCTGGTTTTTTGGGTTCAGCGCAACCATATCCCCAGCTCGTTAAACCGTAAAGAATCCATTTTTGAGTTGTAGGATCTTCAATAACTAGAGGACCGCCGCTATCACCCTGTAACCAACATGAACATACACAATTATAAATCACCCATAATGCATCGTAGTTTCTTCAACTTCGTATTTTCAGAGTATGTCAGTAGTTAGATAGTTGGGAAATGCAGACTTATAACGTTTATATATTGTGCGACGATTGACTCGATTTATTTTACGCAAATATGACCACAAACGATGTCATATGCGTGCCTTACCTGGCAAGTATCAATACCACCTTCAAAATATCCCGCACAAATCATGTTTTCGGTGACTTCTCCGTTGTAGGACTCGGGATGATTACATTTTGATGTGTTTAAGAGTTGGGTTCTTGCTTGCTGCAAGGCGCGCTCGTCGCTGGTCCCTGTTATACAAGGTAATAGAAAATCGGGTTAGGTCACCATTGCATGCATTTTATCTGAAAGTTGGGGTATATAGGTTTTGTATCGTGCGTAAACTTGGACACAAAAACTCTTCATTTAGGATACAGTCATTAAAAGAAATTTACAAGTCCAAAAAACACAAAACAACTGACAAACAAACTTCATGTACACCACAGGTGGTTAATTGAAGTAAGAATCATTTACTGCTACGGAACTTAATTTTACTCCTTTAAAACGAACGTTATTATGTGCACGACCGTAGTTTACTGTCCATATTCTCATACATTGCCGAACACAAATAGTCAAAATGTATTAGCATTTACCCATAGAGTCACCCCATCCAGTGATCCACGCCTCGTCCATATCTTCATATGGCCGGTCTTGTGCAGGTAAACATACTTCACTTATTTCATCAGTCATGGTGATTTGAGTTCTGGTTCTAAGAAGTGCAATATCATTATCCAAGGTAGAGGCATCGTAGTTCTCGTGTATGATTATTTTATCGACCGCATACTCTGCCCTTGAAGGTGCTGGGTCTGTCAGATTATGCTCACCGGCAACAATATCGAATATATAGATCTGATTAACTGACCTGTGTATTTGAAAATCAGTATATTGTAAGTCTGAAAACGCTTAACACACATTGATATATTGTATCATAGCTTTATTAATTGTTTATATATGTTTTCACTTATGACTACACATTGAAACTTCGACATATGCTCAGTTACTTTAATTTAGAAACACGTGATAAAATTACCAAAGCTATCGTTCAGAATTTATTTCAACTGGTCACAGCAATACGCTCTGCTAATGTCAAAGCTGACAATAATCAAACACAAAAAAACTCATAGTGGAGAATATTTGTGAGGTGATCGATGTCTCGTCGGTTTGTACTTCTCAGCGGTGAACGAATATTTCAAAGGTGGATGTTTCAGCCGTGGGTGTTTTGAGTATTTTTAAAATGAATTTTAAAAACTGTTACGTTAGGGATTGCAGCCATAATTAATATGAACAACCCAATTTAACGTGACCAATGTTAACAAGATAACTGGTGAACGATGTTAAAATAATATAATATGTAAGAAGACGATCATTGTCAGAGCGTGATCTCTAATATATTCTTCATTGACGTTACATAGAATCCACGTCTTCTATGAAAGTGTAAATGTACAATTCACCGAAATTAGAATGTTGCATTTTGCAATTTATGTATTATAGGCATCTACGGCTTAAATAAAAAGCCTGTATGTGGCATTCAAACTAAGCATAATACTTATTTTGAATTGTACAAGTGAAAACATAAAGAACTACTTAAATATTAACACGATAGGACAACCATTTTACACTCCCGAGTACAATTCCACGTGAACGGTATTCTCACAGGTAAAAGGGGAACTCCGAAAGGAATGTAATTTCGTATTTCGTTTCACCGGCTTGATTCAAATTCTCCCTTGATGTCGCACCATTTCATGTGTCACTGTGAAACTGCTGTTGCCTAATGCCTGATACAATATCAAAAACCGATCACGTTAACGGTATGTAAATGTGTACACATGTTTCAGGCTGTGTTTCGATTGTTCACAGGACATTTACACATTAAAGACATCGCCGGTGGGCGACATTACACTGCATACATACAAATTCCTGGTAGAGCAAAGAACAAGATGTTGGCCTTGGAGTTACCGGGAACCCATGACCATGCGTCGAGTGCCATAACTTCACATTGTTACGATCACAGTCACAATACCTTGTATCTAGATGTCGATCGGGCATTATATGAGAGTACCCACAAAAACCAACATGTTTAAACATCCACATACCGTAATTTATTTTTGACCATGCTGTAAGATTGTTTATTGCAACTTTTAAATTTAGTCGCTGAGCGGCTGTAACTCGGTTCGGTTAACTATTAACCGAACATATAGTTATAATTTGAGCGTGGTTTAGCAAAATTTCGCGTGATTGCTAAAATATCGGTATTTTTTTTTAAATTGAGATATTTCCCAATATTTCACTAATAAAAGAATACTCAAAAGATTTAAAACATTACTTACCCAAAAACACAGTGGGCAGCTGTGATTATCCATCTATCATTAAGAATTGACCCTCCACAGGAATGTCCTTTATTGTTATGTAAACTGATCTATTAAACAGATTAGAAATGTTTTCATTGTTAAATGCTTCGCAGTGTAATATTCAATCTCTATTGATTTGCAGTGGTTTGCGGTGTTCGATTTTAGTGTTTCTTCAAAGATGAGGTTACTTTTGATTTGTATGCCTTAGTAAACCACTCCCCGCTGCCCCTGGCCCAACAAGATAACGGGCCCAAGAAAAAAACTATCATTGTATAAGTGGAAAGACGTGTTGTAGATATATGGTCTGTTGAATGCTATTAGCACAATAAATTATATGGACAGATGTGATACCAATCCTGAATATTCCAAAATATTGCTTCAAGCTTACAATTATTGTCCCATTCGCAATGGTAATTTGCTAGTACTCACCTGCCATGGCCAGCTGTGGGGCACAGCTTCGGTTCCATTCACAACTTGAATACTGACTTCCGTGTTTGGAGGAATAGCAGGTTCACCGCAGTTCACAACGTTACCTGAAATACAACAAAATAATAAAAACGACCTGCTCAAATGGGTTAGGGAGATGTCGGATTATGTGTCTGACGTCACAAACAACTTTCAGATTATATTCTGCACTCTTATAAAACATGGCGTCATCAGTACGTTTTCGCTCGTGACTGGTTATATTTGTAGTTACATAGGGTCCAGTTATAGGCTGACCAGATTTGTTGTTACAGGAATGTTGATTGGTAGCAAGAAGTTGAGTTATAGGCTGACCAGATTCGTTGTTACGGGGATGTTGATTGGTGGCAAGAGGTTGAGTTATAGGCGGCCAGATTCGTTGTTACAGGT